TTCCACCTTAAACAATCCACCAAGTGTGTCTGAGGCAGTCACCAATGGGCATTCACATTCCACCTTAAACAATCCACCAAGTGTGTCTGAGGCAGGCACCAACGGGCATTTGCACTCCACTTGCTCTGGAAGGTTAATTTGTTTGTTTAGTAAGTCAAGGTTGGCAGGCAGCCAAGATTCACAAGTCCGGTGTTTACCTTCCGTTGGCTGAGACTTCAGCCAGTGTCACAAAATTATCCAGATAATTTGGGACACGCTGCATTTTGTGTTCAGCAGTTATTTCAACAGGAAGTTTTAGGATTATTTTCCAGAAGTCAAAGTCGACCCTAACATGCTTTTGTTGGGAACTATAAACTCAGAGAGAGCGATATTAAGGTAAAGCCCGGGGCTTACCGAGCATGGGGAACGGGAAACAGACCACATACCTGAAGACCCCAGACTCATCACATCCTCCATCCCCGCAGAGGCCACCCTTACCCTGACCTGGCTGCTAACCACTCCCTAGAATTTCTTTTGAATTATGGACCTTTGTGTGACTCTCCAGACAGTAGTGTTTCACTTTGTAAAACTGAGCATGAAGCACAGAAAGGGTGACGGCATTGAGTCCAGGGCCGCAGCAGAATGCCTGCCAGGTTTCAAGTCCTGTGGCATCCGAGCCTCTCCCGGGGGCTCAGACCGTAGGATGTGCTGTGAACCAGGTGCTGCTTCTCCAGGGAAGATCTGGTCAAAGGACAGAAACAGCCTTGGGTTTTCTTAGTCACCACTGAGACGCTGAAACAATTGCTGGAAGGAACATTGGTATCCCCAGGTGCCCCACGAAGCAGGGTGTGTTGTATGCCAGACACACCTGACTGTTTTGACCCACATATCAAGACAGCCAGTTGCTTGGTAGTCATAACTGAGCAAGCCTGTGCTGGGACTTGGGGCCTTCTGTGCTGACTTTTTTTTTTTTTTTTTAATGGGAGTACGGCTGCATCCCTTGGGTTCCCATTCCCTCTGGGACACTCTCTGCCTTTTCCCTCAGTTCACTTCCTCATTTAAATGGAACATGGTTTCTTGAGATGAGGTGGAGGGGTGGAGGCCGACTCTGATGTCTGGAGGCATCAGCTGGAATCCTGATGCTCCAGACGGGTCTCTCTCAGGACTCAGAGGAAACCATCAAAGTGGACAGAGTCTCAGAACACAAGAGTCAAGAATTGAGTCTGGAGTAATGTATGTCGGCACTGGCCAGACAGTGGGTACTGTAATGGAAAAAGCCCATGCGTGTGTCTGGCAGTGCAGGTTCAGATAAAAGGTACCTGTGTGGTGCTGGTCACGAGTGTCCTAGCCAAGAATCAGATCCGCTACCTGGGGCCCCTGCAGCCCCTGAAAGCAACATCAGAGCCATATAGGATACTGGGACTTAATTTTGAGTGCTGAGAATGCTGGGAGTCCAAGTACCAAAAGTTCTATATCCCTGCCTGTGCCTGTCAGTCCTCTCCTGCTCCCTCACTGTCCTGGTGCTGCATTCTGAGTGTCCCTGCAGACGCTGAGAGACGTCGGGGAGCCACACCCTGTGGGTCCGGTCCTACCTTCCTTTCACACTGCAAGCTGCAGACTGGGGGAAAAAACAAACAAACAAAAAACAAACAAACAAAAAAAACCTTCATAGCAGGGAGACAGCAGGAAGCAACAGGAAACTGGGCTCAAGTTCCCCATGTGTGGGCATCACTAGTGTGTGCTCCTGGGGAGGCCACTATCTGGGTCCTGGGGTATAGGTCTCGTCTTTCAACTGGAGGAGTGGGGTCTCGGGAGTTTTCTATTGTGCAGGGGTATCAGTCACCTGGGGAGGCTTTTCATGTTTGACATTTGTTTATTCGTGTGTGTGTGTGTGTGTGTGTGTGTGTGTGTGTGTGTGTGTGTGTGTTCAGAGAACAACTTGCAAGAATCGGCTCTCTTAACACTGTGTGGGTCCTGGGGATCAACTCGCAGGTGATAAGGCTTGGCCTCGGCCCCACCTGGAGACGCTGACGCATCGGTCAGCCGTGAGGACCAGTGAACCCTCCGCAGATTCCTGGGTCATACAGCAAAGCAATGCCGACACCCACATGACTTAAGGACTTCTGCAGAAGTTTGATTGACAGCTCCCGTAAGAAGACAACCGAACCACAGGCCACACTGCGCACCGCCACGTTGTTAGTTAACACAGTTGCTTTTTTTTTAAATCATGTTTCTCCCCTCACCCAGTTCCTCTCAGACCCTCCTCACCTTGCTATCCAGCCAACTTTATGTTCTTTGTCTCTCTTAGAAAAAAAATAGACAAAAACATAAAGCATACACAAAATGGGAATCAAAACAAACAAGCAAAAGATCAATAAGATAAAAAAAATGCCCAGGTGAAACCAGATGAGACAAAATGTCTACAAAATATCATCGAGTTGGCTGTGTTGGACAACCACCTCTGGTACTGGGCCTGCTTGGAAGTCTGGTTAACGATCCCAGTGAGACTCCATTAGAGAAAACAGATCTTTCCTTTGCCAGTGGGAATTGGTTAGGGGTGGGAACCTACGCCTACTTCTCCCTCTCAGTGCTGGGACCCCTTCCGGCATGTGGCATGTAGAAATACATGCAGGCAAAACACCCACACACATACAAAAATAATAATCTTTTAAAAATTAAAAAGAAGCTGGGCGGTGGTGGTGCATGCCTTTAATCCCAGCACTCGGGAGGCAGAGGCAGGCGGATCTCTGTGAGTTCGAGGCCAGCCTGGGCTACAGAGTGACAGCCAGGGCTGCACAGAGAAACCCTGTCTCAAACCCCACCTCCCCTAGGGAAAAAAAAATTAAGAAGAAAGTGACATGGACTGAGTGATACAGCTTCCATATTTGGAGCAGTGAGGGAGGGAACAGATGAAACAAAACTCGGTGTGAGCTGGTCGTTGTTGGAGATGGGTGGGGTATGGGGGAGTGGCGTGTGGGGACACAGGACCCTGGATCTAGTGGCAGATAACAACCTCACTCTATGACTTTTCTGACTCCAAACACTGTAAACTTCCGTGGAATGGTGTTTTTTGTTTTGTTTAATTTTCCACAGTAAATAGCTAAACCAAATACTTGGTTTTGGTGTATTAATAAGCTAGCATGCACAAATCCATCTCTCTCCGTTTTTCCTACCCCATGCCACCAGACAACAAGACTTTTGTCAGTCTGAAACCACAGACTCTCCGGGTCCAAGTGGACACAACTAACTTCATCTAAACACACGAATCTAAGCTGGACCGTAGACTGAGGCGGAGAGAATTAAAGGATGTAAGAATCTTCGCTGAGAATAAAGGAGAGCGTGGAAGCCAATCAGGTCCGAGGTATCTACTCGAAAAGTGTCAGATTAGTTTGCATTGGATCGCTTTTCCAAAGCAATCTTTTTAGTTTGAGGGGCTGCTTTCCTGATAGCTCCCTGAACTCTGTCCATCATGCAGCATCTCCACCTCCAAAGCCCTTAGTTGCTGTGAAACTTTGTTTTCTGCAGGATTGCTTTTGAGAATTCCGCTAGCAAACTCATGGAGCCTGGAGAGAAGATCCAACCGTGCACCACCAGGCTCCCCTGGGCGAGAGTGGTAGAGCAGGTTTCACTGTCTTTGCAAGAGAAGGTAATTAGAATTACAGCTGTCATAAAGAGCTACACTCTCAGCTTCCAGGCGGTCTGTTTTAGGGAATGCTCGCTCGTGCGGGACAGACCAATAGAAACAGTTGCTTTCCAACACAGCACCACCGTAAGCTTCCTAGGGCACAGGGGCTCCTTAGCCTGAGGGAAGGCAGGTCACAGCTGGCCAGAACATCCGAGGAAGACCCACCTCCAAAGCCGGCCAAGCTGCAGCAGCAGAGTTAACCATGCTTTGTGGCATAGCACTCGCTGATTGTGTGGTCCAGACACCACTTCATGTTTGCCCAAGTCTTCTTCTCACCAGGGCAGCATGCGGGACAGGCTGGCAAGCTTAAGCAGCACTCTTGACTTCCAGGGAG